ACCAAAAAAAAAAAAAAAAAACACTGCCTACTGCAAGGAATATGAGTGTGAGCGATATACATAAAACCAAGTTGTGAAATCACACAGCTGAACAAGTAGTCGTGTCCCAAGCAGAGAGTACAAGTGCACCGAGAAAACCATCCATATAGAGTAATACAATGAAGTAATGAGCCAATGTCCAAGCCCGTAGGCCACACCAACACAGTATCCAAAGTCGCTCTCTCCTGTCTGGTGCTCGGCGCCCAGCCTACTCTACCTGACTAGCCTACCTACAGCCGGTTCATGCAACAGGATCACTTCGACGCTCAAAGACCAATGTACATGACTGCCAACACCATCGCCGACCTCTCTTCATGTACCAGGTACGTATCTCGTCACCCTCAATCAGACCTTGATTACCCCACACAGTGCCTCCTTCCCTGAAGACCACCTGATCATCTGCTGTACCCCCAGGCGCCCAGCAGCCCGGCTATGGCTGCCTGCGCCCCGCTGCCCTGCAGCGCCCCACAACACCTCTCGCGCCCCGTCAGCGCCCTTGGCAGCAGCGCAGCATCAAGCGAGAGCGCAGCAGCACTTCCGCATTGCCAGCGCTGGCCAGAATGCCTGACCTGGGCTGCTTCCTTCCTTTTGTGGAAGTGGCAGCCTCCTGGATGCGGCGTGCGGCCTGGCTGGAAGCTTCCAGTAGCTTCCGGTTGGGTCCCAGACCCTGCGCCCAGGCCCGAGACTACAGTTGAGGGCCTAGGCCCTTTGCAGTTAGGCACGGCCTGAGTCTCCGGACTTCGGCTGTTTGCTGCATCCGTGCAGGGCTCCCAGGCAGATGCGTTGGCACTACTGCCGAAGGCCTGCTTCCCAATGTATCAGCCCTGCTTTGTGTATGTGCGCCCAGGCGCAACTGTCAAGGCCTGGGCCAACTGTATGACGCAGCAATGTGAGGCTCACGCGTCTTCCCGACCAACTGGCGTGCTGCGAGAGCCTGAATACCCACATATGGAAATGTCGAATTTTGCCTTTCACGAATATTCAGGCCCGCCTTCACTTAGGGCGGGCACTTGGCTTGCTGGGGGCCTTAGCCCAGAACAATGTGATGTCTGATAGGGCCACTTGAGGGCTTGTTCCTCACACTACTCCCCTTCAAAAAAAAAGAGCAGGACACAAAATATTCCAGAAAGTTGGAGCGAAACTATTTCGAGGAACCGAAAATCTTCAGCGGCCCTAGCCTGACAAGCCTGACAGGTTGAAATTTCGGGGCACATAATATATTCTTCCCAGAAACATTTTTGAAATGGTTTTTCCAAGATTGGGAAAAACTATTTTTCCAATTCTTTTCCCAGATGCACACAAAAGTTTGGTTGCAAGTTTGAAATTTCTTTCCTTTTGTTTCGCATCGAATCTTGATGGGCGTGCGGTGCAGTACTGTTTTCCGACCAACGAAGAATCAGACCCCGCAATTCTTTTCCCAGATGCACACAGAATTTCTTTTTCAGATAGGGCGCACGGAGGGGAGATGGGGTCGGCTTCAACCCTCAACACCCTAGCCAAATTTCCCTGACTGGGGTACAGGGAGGGAGGTAGAGGGGAGAAGGGGGGAGGTGGAGGGAGGGCGGTTCCACTCTTACCAGAAGAATCTGTTTCCGTTTCACATTTGCCGTGACTACAAGGTCTTGTGAAACCTCCCTCATTGCCGCATCCAGGTACCGCCGGCCATTCTGCATACAATTTCAGAAAGCAGCAACCGTGCTAACTTCAGCAAACCCATCTCTCTCTCTCTCTCTCTCTCTCTCTCTCTCTCTCTTCCCGTGTGTTTGAGTGTATGTGTGTTTGTGTATGTGTGTGTCAACATCCCCAAACTCTCTCTCATTCCACCCACAAACCATGACAGACCATCCATAAAGCAAAAAAAATATAGGTGGACAATACAATAGAGGATGCAAAATTCCCACGTTTGTGTGGCTGGGCAGGAAGTGCCCACACACCTGCCTGTCTGCCACCAAACTGGCACATTTGCACAGATATTATTCAGTTTTTTCAATCTATAAAAAAAATAGAGGGAAGCGCCAAGTGCCCATTTCACCTGTCTGCCGCCGAAGCGTACCGAAAAAGAAACAAAAAAAAGAAAAAAGAATGGTGGTCCCAGCCTGCCACTTCCGCTATACACAACTCCAGAAAAAAAAAAATAATAATAATAATAATGGCGGTGCCGGACTGTTTCGTCGGACTTTCACCAACTCATCTTGAGGTTGAMCCCCGCCAGTCTGTCAACGATGCACTTGAATATGCTGGAGATGAGGACTCACCATGTCACCTAGAGTTAGCGATGCCCCCGACAGTCTGTCGACGAACCTTATTCTAGAAAAAGTGGTTTGACTCTGTGTGTGAATTTCTGTTGAGCCGGCAATCACCAAACACCATATCATCCCCAAATTCATCCATATCCATTTAGAATGAGGATATGTGCACAATTGGCCAATTTTTTGTTTCATTCAACAGCCAGTACATCACCCAGGCAAACTTGAGAAACGGAAACGAGCCAATCCAAAATTTTCATATTTCAGAGGCTTGAGCCTATCGGACCAAAATGACTGACGGAAGGGGGAAGGAGGGGGGGGGAAGGAATGCTGTGGCGGCATTTCAGCAAAGATTGGCGCGCAGGGGGCTCCGCCTCACCAAAATGATGGTTGGATGCACTGGGTGATTTAGGCAACAAAAGGCACACCCGTGTGGCCTACAAGGATCGTTCTCGTGTGGGCGTTGGGGGGCTCCGCCTCAGCAAAAAGAGGCCTGGATGTACTGGTGATTTTGGCAACAAAAGGCACACCCGTGTGGCCTACAAGGAACATTCTCATGTGTGCTTTACAGAGAATCGCCTAATATCATCAAAGCCTCAAGCAATTAAAAAGATGGAAGTGCCACGCTAGCCAGATCTCTCCCCCTACAAGGTACAAGCAATACAAGGATCATCATCAACTACAGCACTCCATCCCCTCTAAGCCTTCTCTCCACTGCGCCCCYCCCCCCCCCCCCCGCSCCCCCCCCCCCCCTCCCCAACCCACAAGAGTACAATGAACCTATCCCAGAAGAATCTCACCCTTAGTAAATCATCTGTGAGGCTGTGCACTAACGCTCCAGCAATCAGGCCTGACAGCACTCTACCCTAGGGCAGATGAGATGGGAGCTCCACCGACTACAGCACTGCCAACGCCCAAGCACACCCCACGCCCAAAACTCAGCAGCAAGATCACTGATGCTTAAAACAAACGGGTTGCACTGAAAGCATGGGTTTCATAACCACAGCCTGTGAGAGTCTCACACACACACACACACACGCGCACACACACAGAAAATACTGTCTTAAAACTGAAAGCTGTACAGGTCATTTAAAAAAAACACAATAGAGAACAGAGACAAAACGCAGATTCTGTCCTTGAAAACAATACAGAAAAGATCCACACACAAGGATGGCATCTGCCAATCGACAAATAGTCCCCCCTTCCCCCCTTCCCCCCTCCCCCCCAAACAAAAAACAGCATGCTCTTCCTTGTCGACTCTTCAGACATGAGGACTGATCCCCCACCAAAAAAAAAAAAAGAAAAAAAAAAAAAGAGTGGAGGATGATCTTTCCCCTGTCCACTCTTCAGACACAGGCTCACCTTGCAAATGATGTGTGTAAGCTGAAGGTCCCTCTCCAATTCAGTGACCAATGACATGCCTGCCACTGCACGATCACTCAACGACATCCCGCAGAAAACGACAACAGGAAAGGGAACAAAAGCCAGAGCATGCACGAATCAGATGTCGGCAACCGTATGATCGGCAGACGGCATCCCCTTTTTCTCCTCGACCCACCCACACTTACCAAGGACCTCTTTCTCCATCGAATGCATTGATCTCGGACTCTCAGCGGACGGTTGTGATCGAACACATATGCAAATGCAATAAATCGCAGTTTCCCAGTGGGGCTGTACACTAAGCGTTTGCCTTTGTCGTTTGTTTTCTTGTTTTGAGCGTTGCGGGACTTGATCCCGTGACCTGTAATTTGTATGTTTTGTTTGTTAGTTTTGAGCCCTGTGGGACTTGATCCCTAAGTCTGTCACTACTAGTCTCTGTTTGGTAGCCTTAGGCCATTCGGCCTTTTCCTTTTGCCTTGTCATAGGTCTAGGTCCCCTTTCCACCCTGTTTCCATCTAGATGCAGATGAGTATTGGATTGTGGCCTTTGGAGTCCCTCGTAGGTCTAGGCAGAGGGTGGAAGTAGTGGGCAGGAAATTTGGTTTGTGTCTTTTCACGTTTTGTTGGCTGGGGAAACTCTGCCCGTCCGTTGCTGGAGCGCTGCTGCTCTATTTTGGGCGAGGTCATCTTTTTCCTCGAAGCCCAGCCATAGCCGGGGTCGGGAAACGAAGTTGAAGATGGCACTGCTGCTATTTCGCAGCTCTGCATGAGAGCTTCCACAGGACTGTGTTGTTAGGTTTGGGTGCTGCCATCTTCCACTTGGCAGCCATATCTGTTGTTCCTACTCTCGAGGAACTTTGTCTTCTTCGAAGTGCTGGATCGGTTGTCTCCTTCTTCATCAGGACTTTCAGCGCTGCACTTCCGTGCGGGTGCTGAGCTGGCGCTGTAATCATTGGGGTTGCTGGTTCAGATTGGCACGTTGTGACAGCTGTGGGGTTACTGCCGCTGCGGCAGCCATAGCCAGGGGTATGAGGTGGCGAGGAGGAAGAAGAAGACTTCTGCATACTTCGTTGAACACTTGTTTCTGGTTTTTCGGGGTTGTTGTAAACGCGGTTGTGATTCTTGGAATAAGTACTCTGGATTGATTGGAGGAGGACGAGGGATTGCAGAATTGAAATTCGTTTTTCAATTCTCTGTGTGTTTTGAGCTTCCGCTGTGCATATTCTCTCTCCGGTTTTGTGTGGATTTGCCACCTCCGAGTCTACTCTGTAATTGCATGCGTGTATGGGAACGTGTGAATTCATTGTGGATGGAAGTTCAATTGGGTACATAACACAAACACACGATACACTCTCGACTGATGGATCTGATCTGTGAACAAAGTGCTTCTACACTACGTTCAATGGCAGACGACCGCCAAGAGTGTAAGTAGTTTCAGATGTCCAATCACAGCCGTCCACGCAGGTAGTTCCAGATGTTCGATCACAACCGTCCAACCACACGGAAGTGATTCCAGACATTCGATCTTAACCTTCCAACCGTTCGAGCACAACCTTCCATCCAGACGTTCAACATTTTTAGTGATCGAACAAAGTGCTTCCAGACGGTCTGTCTATTTCTCTACTCAGATACTTTGTCATCGAACAAACATATGGAGCCCTTGCTTTTCCGACCATGTACCTGGCCAGTCTAGCAACCAAGTTCAGGCTCAAAGAGATAATCACAGTACAAGTGAACCACGGCGGTCTGTCGATTTCTCTACTCAGATGTTTTGTGATCGAACGAACATATGGAGCCCTTGCTTTTCCGACCACATACCTGGCCAGTCTTGCGACCAAGTTCAGGCTCAAAGGGATAATCACAGTACAAGTGAAGCACAACTCTTATACACATCTAGATGTGTATAAGAGACAGGATGTTTTGTGATCGAACGAACATATGGAGCCCTTGCTTTTCCGACCACATACCTGGCCAGTCTTGCGACCAAGTTCAGGCTCAAAGGGATAATCACAGTACAAGTGAAGCACAACGGTCTGTCGATTTCTCTACTCAGATGTTCTGTGATCGAACAAACATATGGACCCCTAGCATTTCCGACCATGTACCTGGCCAGTCTCGCGACCTAGTTCAGGCTCAAAGGAATAATCACAGCACAGGTGGAGTGTGACTGACCTATATCCTCATCTGTCTGTTTACTCTGCACTTGCTATATACAACTTATAGCAAGTGAGAGAGGGGGAACAAGAGCAACAGAAGGTCTGGTATGGGGGTTTAGCGTTACCCATTTAATGATGCTTGGGACAAGGTGGCATGAACCTGACCAGTCATGCAGCCAAGTACCTGCTTCAGGGCATGGACACGTTGCGCTCGCGGTTAAGTGTATTTGGAATATGGATGGTGAGGAGCAAGAGAAAAGGAAGGCCATTTCTTTACCTAGTAGTACTTACCCATTTCATCATGGTGCGACATGACCTGCTTCGACAAGCTCTCCGTAATCTTGTCCAGTTGGAGCATGAGCCTTCCAACCTATTGCCACACAAAAAAAAAAAAAAAAAAAAAAAAAAAAAAAAAGGGTCGTTTCAGAAGATTCGTAGGCGACTACCACGACAATATTCCGCAAAATAGTATCCAAAATAATATCCAAGCCATTTGTTTGTGCGAAAGACTCAAGAAACAGGAACAGGAGGAGGGAGGCGGCGAATAATAATTGGAATACAGGAACAGGAACAGGAGGAGGGAGGAGGGGAATAAGAATCGGAATACAGGAGGAAGAAAGAGGAACAGGAACAGGAACAGGAACAGGAACAGGAACAGGAGGAGGGAGGAGGGGAATAAGAATTGGAATACAGGAGGAGGAAAGAGGAACAGGAACAGGAACAGGAACAGGACGAGGGAGGTCGGGAATAAGAATTGGAATACAGGAGCGGGAAACAGGAACAGGAACAGGAACAGGAACAAGAACAGGAACAGGAACAGAAGGAGGGGAGGGGGATGACCAAGAAACAAGAACAAGAGGCAGCAGAAGAGGCGGAACAGGGACAGGAAAGCGGGGGGGAGGAGGCGGAGGAGAAAGAAGAGGAGGAAGAGGAGGAAGAGGAGGAAGAGGAGAGAAGGAAGAGGAGCAAGAGGAACACCGGGGAGTGGCTCCCAAACAGATATCTTACTTCTGAACACGTGGGGGGCGGGGGAGACTGGACAAAGGGAGGGGGTTGTTTACAGAATAGCAAATGCATAACACTGTGATAACAGTCTAACAGAGACTGAAGAGTAAGAAAATGGCGCTGACAACAACGCATAAAACTTCACAATAAAAGAGTGCGTTTTGCGATCGGTTTTACCTGAGTTTGAAAGTATTCAATGTCGACTCCCTCTGAGGGGATCTGCATCAGCATCGCTTTCACTGGATCGAAATTCTGGTCACACCCAAAGCCCACCATCGGTAAATCAGTCACAGACTCACAGCCATCTTATTACTCCCTCCCTCCCTCCCTCCCTCCCTCCCTCCCTCCCTCTCTCACCTCCACAGTGGAGGAAGGAGCTGGTGAGAGTAACCGCAACATGCACCATTCAGCCATAGTCAATGACCAAAACAACACTTTCTCGACTGAATCTGGCTCGGATTGCAGTCAGTTACATTCAGGAAATTACTAGCGTCAGTGCTTCCCGCATTCCCATTAGGACAACACTTTCTCTACTGAATCTCGCTCGAATTACATTATTGCAGTCAGGTACATTAAATTACCGGTGTCAGTATGACCCATGTTGCCATCAGGACAGGTGATCTGTGGGAGAAGTGGAACAGGTGATCCGTGGGGTGGATGTGGCAGATGGGACATGTGATCGGTGGGACAGGTGGGACAGGTGAGACAGGTGAGACAGGTGAGACAGTTGGGACAGGTACAACATGCGGGAACGTGCGATAGGTGATCGGTGGGACAGGTGGGACAGGTGGGACAGGTGGGAAATCTGTGAGACAGACAGGACAGGGGGCACAGGTGGGACATCTGTGAGACAGGTGGGACAGGTGGGACAGGTGGGACATCTGTGAGACAGGTGGAACAGGTGGGACAGGTGAGACATGTGGGACATCTATGAGACAGGTGGGACAGGTGGGACCTGTCAACAATGACGGCCCCAGTACGACTTCCACAAGCCTGCCCACTTCAGTGAAATGAAAACTCAGACATCAGTTCAACTCTACACCTGGGAAACACTTCCCTACCCAGCCACTGCAAAAGGCGAAAAAAACCAAATTTAAAGAGGGGGGCCACAAGGGGGGGGGGAGGGAGCAAAGAAAAAGCGCTCAAAAAAAGAGAAAGGGGCATGCGCCAATGTTCTGCAGCAATACAAAGAAAGGACCTGAAACATCGGCGCAGTTTTGAGTGGTAGGGTTTCTACAAGACGTAAGAATTTCACACACCTCTTCGTAATATTCTGGTTCAAGCTCCGGCGCAGTCTGCTCCAGCTTCGGTTGAATATCTCCCATCATAAGATCAGCGGAAAATCCAATTCTTGTCGGCAGAGCAGCCCTCATGTGAGGAGGCAAGCCCATCATTGTCTGCGCAAGCGACTTGGCAGCCAGAACACGCTCAGGGACCAGACAACCAGTATCATTACACCCCGCAAGCGAAATATGGATTTGTCGGGGAAGAGAGAGGGAGAGAAACAAGGTGTACATAAGAGTTGTTGGGGAAAGTAGAGGTGTGGAGCGCGAATGCAGGAGCGAGGGAGAGAGAGAGAAAGAGAGAGAGAGAGAGAGAGAGAGAAGAGGGGGAGGGCATAAGCAGGAGTGGGAGATAGAGGAGGGGCCGGGGAGTCCAATGAATATGCAGGGGATGTGTGTGTGTGTGTGTGTGTGTGTGTGTGTGTGTGTGTGTGTGTG